ATATAACATCATCGATATTCATTAGGCATCAACATATATTTTATTATGTTTTCCTGGAAACACATAATTTCAAAAATATCACACACTATTGCATCATTTTGTAAATACGTATATTAATTCCATCTGTACTGAAAATCACTATTCCAGAGTGCTGGACACTTACCGGCATTTCTCTTTATTCTGTTATTTATTTGTTTTCATTAATTTTGCTGCGATTTTATCTATTTTTAGTTTATTTATTTTATTGACATTTATGACAACTTAATGTTTTTTATCCGTTGTCATGGCTACCCATGACACGGATACTCTCTCCAACTACGTCTATGACTATTCAACCTTCACAGACCACCTACTTTGATTCTTTTTAGTACGATTCGAACCGTGTCTAAATTTAAATGGTTCCGGACCTATAAAAAGCCGAGCCTCTCTGATCTTTGATTGATTTCTACGGCAAAAGTTGCCTATGCCGCCTGGACTTCAGCTTCTTCGGCCAGCCTCCAACTGCTTCAGCCCGCCTTCTACCGACTCCTGCCGTTCCATCAACTCCTGCCACTGGCTGATATTCGCCGGCCAACCTACCAGCAGCGCCGCCAGCCACCACCAGGGCAGACCAAGACCTCCTAGGAGTGCCGACCGTCTGCCAGAAGCACGTACACCAGACCCTCTATTCTCAACGAAGAAGATCGCCGACGACCCACGCCCACTTCACCACTTCCTCTTTACACCCCACACTTAACATACACACCATACCTTTTTTTATTGTTAATCTATTATCTTGTAAAGGACATTGTTCTGTGTCCATACATACTTAGCCTAAGAACCAACAATCATGAAATATTATTTTCTAGGTTCGAAATCGCAAGTAAATGACTGTAAAAACAAAGATTACTGACGGACACTTCTGAGACCTTAAATTATTAGCAAAACTAAAATCTTTTTGAGGTTATGTTTAATATTCAATGAAACATAGGCTAACCTATGAACTTAGTATGAACTCAGTATAAAGTGAATTAATTACAACTAATTCATTTTATTCGATGCGATTTTAAAGAATAACTATTAGGAAAAACTTGGTTAGGTAGGAATCATGAATAAAATAAAAACAATAGTTTTGCTTCTTATTATTTATTGACTATTTTTCACAATTTTATCATATTGTATTTATTTGTTTAACACATGTATATTGTGTAAATATGCAGCGTGAATGTGTATCAGGTGCTCTTGAGTAATTTGGCAGTATGATCCTCTCAGGATGTTGTGGCACAGATTCACTAGCATTTGGTAATAAGGTCTCTGTTCTCTGGTTACATCGATGGCATATTAGATAGCCGAAATAGTAATAGTTAAATTAAAGGAAAAACAATCGCAAATAAACACACACAACAGGTAATCCGAACGAGAATTTTCCGTATATAAAAAGTACTCTTTGACGAGAATGCACGAATGCCACAGATTGCAAACTGCCTGCAGAGTATCGAGTTTATGCCGGCCCTTCACTTGACAACAGTTTGTCCTTGTCATGCTTAATAAGGAATGAAAAGGACAGACTGATATCATGTTTTTAAATTGCAAATACGAATAGCCAAGTGATGTGCCGGCGTTAGGAAGAAAGTGTTTTTTGTTTGCAGTGCTGTCATAGATTATACACATAAAATGGTATCTATTGTCTCAGATTATTTATTAACTTTTTAATTTAGCTTACTTATCTGGAAGTGTCCGTCACAATCTAAATACTGATAATTATCGCAAAAAATATACTAAGAGTTATCATAAATGCCAAATTGGTGTTGGTTCTTAGGCCAATTTTAACATTGTCCTTTATATATCCTATACTCTTCTTTTGATTTTTCCTTTATTTTTTTTTCTATCTTGTTTTATTTTGTCGCTACACGACAATACGTCAGTTCAACATGGAAGTCACACAACGAGTAACTTGACTTTTAATACCAAGTGGGGCTTCTTGTCCTACCCTATGGTATTTTCACTTTAGTTTGTCAACCTATATGCATTACTTCATACCAGGTGTTACCATTGGGATCAAGTGATAGATCGACTACCTTACCTTACCTTACCTTTAAACTATCTGCGGAAAACTGGCTGGAGGTAACAGACTTTTATTTCTCATTTATACCAGTATATGACAGAATGTTTATTACCTATGTATTTTATAATTAACATTGGTAGATATAAATAAAACTTCATCACACTGAAAGATACATTTCATAAATTTATTATACAAAATCTTAACACTACACCTGAATTTAACTTATTACAGTATAGTAACATGTGAAATTTACAGATCTATTCGATTAGTACAGACATTAGTATTTAGTTATATAATTATTGCGCAAAATCATCCCGAGTTTGGGTGATCGTTAATTTAGTAATCACTAAGGGTTGGATCTCACTTGTGCGTATTCGATTTTCTCATAAGCGCTTATTGTCGCATAGAAAAATAGTACAATTGATAGGATTAATTTGGTTACTATCTCGAAAATAATCATTCTTTTTGCCATTATTATAGAGTAGAGGTATATACTTATTTGACTTTGCTGATGTTTTGTTAACGAATAAGTTGATTATTTATTTTTAAGGCAACGAAATATTTATTATTGTGCACGAATTTTGTTCAAAGCAGATCAATAGCTGGCAATTTATAATATTGTTAATTGATTACAAACTACGATCAGCGTGGCTGCATAATTAAAACCTGGTGTCATGGATCATTCTTTTCTTTCATACAATATCAAATAAGTCAACACGACAGAGCTTCAGGAGTAAAAACGAAGATGCGGCAAGTGAGTCCCATCCCTAAAATACTTAAGTACGAAACCTTACCTTACAAGAATAAACGATGAAGCTCAGATATTTCTTATGATTTTATAACTATTTCGATTTATGTATTTACATTATGATATGAAAGAAGTCTCAAAATATACGTATTTTGCAAAATGAAAGATTACATTTTTGAAGCACCTAGTAGACTAACAATTTATTTGACTACGAATTTAATGTTCAAAGTTTTGTAATAATTATTACATTTTAATGGCATCTCAGTCGATGGTAAATGAATCTAATTGCACCAGTGCTATCCTGAAAGAACAAACTCAGTTTTCAAAAAAAAAAGTGAGATTGATCTAACAGAATACCACTGCAGCTATATAGTTTACCATCAAACTATATTAACACCAAACTGTTACATTGTTTGCTTCACTTGTTTATATCCTTCCCGATCTAACATCGACTTTTAATAAATTAAGCAATGAAAATCTAATTAATAAGTTTTGTGTTTTTTAAATGGAGTTATTAAAGAACAATTTTTTGTCATTTCCTGCATTTAATCTACACTCTAACAAATAGTAATAATACGTTTAACAATAAGAGTGTTACATGGATGATAAAATTTCATGTATACAAACACAGTTACTTTATTAATTTCATAAATTAAATTTGATGAGCGTTATATTTCATGGTATTATTTTCTCGATAAATGTCTAGAAAAAATAGTACTATATTAAAAACGGTTATTTTTTTCTCCGACCGATATATATATATATATAATGGTGAGTAGATGTTGATATTATGTACAGGCTCTAAGGTACAGAATAATGATATGAAATCGAGAAGTTTCGAAAGGAGGTACGATTTGATGATATTAAGTGAGTCAAGATTGAATCATATGTAGATAATTATAATTACGTTCATCTATTAAAATTACAACATTGGATCTTTTGTACAAAAATATGTTGAGAAAATGTCTAGAACACCGTCTAAACTAATATTATATATCGCCTTTATAGTAAACCTTGTGTTTCATACAATTTAATTAGATTTACATAGATGTGTACATTTTAAATTAGATATTACATTTTGATGTGAAATCGACACTTAATGCAAGACGTGGACTTATTCTTAGTATTTAATATATTATTTTAAGTAAAAATAATTTCTAGAATTTTAGGTGCTTAGTATTCAGAATGAATTCAATTTTGATAGAAATATATAAATGTGTTACGAATCTCACATTATTAGAGAAGTTGGATTGTAAAAGATCATGATATATTTGCTGTAATATTGATTCGTTATCTGTATGTACGTAATGAGTTCGACGTAATTGTTATTTTATTTCAGAAGTTCTCAATTATTTCGTCTTTACAATAACGACGTTTGAATTACGTTTGATCTTCTTTGTTCAAGATGTTCTTCACATAAAAATGTAATATGTATTTTTCTGTACTTCTGAGTTGAAAGAAGCAAAATATATTTACGTTTATTACACATTATTAAAGTGCCAATGTGTAAATGTCAAAGGTTTCTTGCAGAATTGTGAATAATTATTAAATAGTCATACATGTCTGTTGTTAAATAATGATAGTTAATGCACGTAAAAAACCTTACCGGTGCAAGCCTAAACAAAAGCGGCGATTCCAGCGATACGTTTGTCATGTATAAATTTAGTCTCAGTACATTCCCCATATTAGTTAAAATATCATAAAGTTTCTTATATATATCACAGGCTTAAATTATATACGTTACCATTAAGGACGTGCATACTATACGTACACTTACATTAGTAGGTAAAGTTGAACGAAATTAGGTAACTATTTACACAAATAGGGGAAAAATAATGAGGCGAACCCTCCCACAACCCTCGGAGATTTGAAATTACGACCGCAGTAAGGCAGCGCTGAACTACGTATCTCTATACTGGATCATTAGTGCGCGAGTACTGCGTGCGGTGAGCCTTGATCCTTAACGCCATTCACATCGCCCGATCAAAACTCACCGATGACCTCTCAAAGATCTAACTACATAAATTAGTCTCCTATAACTTACACAAATAATATCAAAACGCACGTAGGATCAAATTACTTTATTATCTTAAATAATAACAAAACAAACATTTATTACTATTTGGGTTTAAATGCTCTCATCAATAATATACTTTTAAGATTTATCAAAATTAATTTCCATTCAATAGTTCTAACAATTTCTCTAAACCCTTATCCAACGATCAAAGCGTACTTACAAATTTGAGAATACCAATTTCCCAATCTTTATACATTCCATTCCATATCCAACAAAGCAACGCACAACGCCGATAACTATCGATCCATTGAATTTTAATAAAGTGTCTATTAAAATTTCGAGTGTCAAATCACCTTCTCATGATCCCAGTGTGGTCGGAACTAATCACTGCATACCACTACACTTTTAACTATTCGTAGCTAGAGGGTGTCACTGATTTAAGTACATACACAAATTGAGCTTGTCACTGTTGAATGAGGTTATTGAGTTCTGGGTATTTGGCGGCGGACTCACGAAAATATATTGAAGTATTTGAGGCCGGCTGAGACGTACGGTACCGGTATTGAACCGGCGTAGTAGTTGACAGACTGAAACATGAGATAGGCGATATTCAGAAGCTATCACACAATCTCATTTGGATGGGTGTTCTGATTGGAGTCATTCTGCCGCGCGCACTGCTGTAAACAAAAAAATGATTTTCTTAGAATCATCCTCAACAGTCTTGAAAAGTAAAAATATAGTGCATTATTAAATAACGATTGTATTACCTCCTGTTTCCTCTCCCATGTTTTCATTGCACTTTTATACTTTTCGAATTCGTGGCACCAATTGGAATATATTTTCTGATATTCATTACTTTTCTCTGGTGGTAAACATCTGAAGGAAAGAAAGAAAATTATGTCACTAAGCGTACATCGTGGAAATATTATTATTTATTTGAATTTTTATTTTATTAAAAGCTTACCTATGGGTATCAACGGTGATATTGTATGAGCAAAGAAGCGATCCTCCTAACCAACAGTCATATCGACCAGCGTCACCCTCGTTCACAGATATTATTAGTAGACCATGTTCGGATGTCTCTATGTATTTTTCTGGTTTACTGTAAACAAAATAAACATTGACATTATAGCGTGGCGATTACTTAATTAATTTAAGTATCTACTCCATTATTTCTGTGGATTGTCTGTTACGTAAAAACTGTGTTATTACTATTCAACATTATGTTTCTCACAAGTTTATAAGAAGCATAATTAAAAGCTTATAAATTGATATTAAGATTATTCTAATCTCATGAAATAAAGTCAAGTATCAAATAATTCAGTCACGTTATAATTTTATAGATTGCCATAAATAAAGTAACATTACTGCTTCGTTTGCTTGAAATCATTTGGCTATTCTAATTTCCTATAAAGAAAACGACACGACCACGATAACCCTTTAATATCTGGTTAAACAATATATACATATTTGAATCGAAACAAATACATTTCATTATGTTTGGTTGCTAAAGTCGTTAACCCGTAGAACGTGCTTACGGGCTGCACAAAGACACCTCAATGCAAAAGATACCGCTGTTTAAACGAACTCCATAAACAGGGAAGTAATTCGAGTTTCCCTCCCCCTGCATTTTAATTATACGAAAGGAAGTGCGATAAAGGCAGATTTGGAAGGACTTGAAATTAATGTTGTTGCATGCGTGTTTAGTTGAAATGTTTTCCCAACAATTTCGAAGCCATTTAAAATGCTGTTTGTCTTCATTGCGAGCAAAGACAGTCGTTGGCAATTTCTTTTGAATACAAATGCAACGTTTTCAACTGTATACCAACTGTTACAGTTTTGAGTTTGGCCTCAAGTTTCCAGTTCGTACTTAGCCCCGCTTTCGCACAAATGGCAGTTTTGTTGTAATACATTTACATTTTAAAGTTACGCGGACTCGTTTAAACGGAACTTATTAATTTAATCTTACTTTAAGCAAAGCTAGCAAATATATGCCTAGGGCTATAATTAACTATTCACTACTTCGATAAATCTCTTTTAGCAATAAGTCCGTCTTTATCCACACAGCTTATAAATCCCTCCGTGTATTTATATTTGTTTTGTTTGTGTGTGATCAATAAATGTTATTTATTTACTGCTATGGTCAAGGTTTTTGTTTTCTCGTCTGTATTCATTGCAATTAGGTAATCATTTAACTCTTATCTTTTACTAATCAAAGTTACTTAAAATTATTTCTATAGTGAAATTCAACTACTTCAATTAAGATCAAAGATTTTATGGTTTCAGTCAGTTAAAAACTGTCCATAACAGGTGGTGGGGAAAAAATTGGACGAATCAAAAGAGTCGCCTAATGGCTTCCTATTTGAATAAAGATTTATTTATTTTGATTTTGCATGCCAGCAGCGATAAGAAATATGAAAATGATATCGAACTCACTTGAAAGTGATAGGATGCCGGCCTTTCTCTCTAGAGTAGTGGTACCACGTCACTGCTCTTGGGTGAAGCACTTCCGGCATCTTCACAAAGCTGCCTAGGTGGAGGCTCTGCCCCCAGGTCGCGGAGACTGCCTTACGAGCAATGGAAGAGTCGCAGATATCCGCTGTCTCATTCGCCACGTCTTGTATTAACCTGTGAAGAAACAAAAAAGCTTGGAAAGAGAACGAGTGTGACACTATTTACGCATTGGCATAGCATAGAGCAACAGGGCTGACGCGGCCAGGAGGTAAGTAGGCATACACAGGTTTCCACAAACAGGGCACACAAACAAACGATATAAATATATAAATATTGTTTCACAGCAGGATTTGGCGTTGTATTGTGTCATTGTTTAAGTGTGAGTGTCGTAATTACGGTTTTTAACGCCTGCAGGTTAAACTGCATCTGTGTGCATATTCTCCTCCGCAAAAAATGGCAGAATAATTTTAATAGTATTACGTCGCTATGGGTACTCCCTTCCGTGTTGCTCTATGCGCATGGGTCTAGTAAATATTGCTATGTTGTTACTTTCCAATGTTAGAATAACTTGGTTAAAATATCGTGAATATGTTTTGTACATAATTTAGAGCTCCTAATGGGCGAAGTTACCTAACCCTTTGGTGTTGTTGTACTCCAGTTGAGGAGTATTGTTCTAAGACTCCTCGGGGTAGGGGATTAGGACAGGGTAGGTAACGATGTGTTAGATATTTCTGGTAACACAAGCGTGTAAAGGCAATGGTGGTCGCTTACCATCAGGCGGGCCATACGCTTGCTTGCCACGCTTTTGATATAAAAAGGGCTCCATGGGATAGTGGTGGGGGAAAGGAATTAGGTCAGCAAGGTGAGAATGGCTAGAGGCATACTCTCACTTCTATCATCGGCTATTGCCACGTTTGGACTCCAGTTAAACATAACATCAAGTGGGGTGAAATAAAATTTGATGCGCATTTTAAATGGGAACCAAGGGAAGATATTTAATGCACCTATTCCTGATATTCGTAGAGTATTATGATAAATATATTTATTATGTTTTTATAAAGAAGGCAATAAATGGATATTTAATAATTATCAAAAACTAAGTAACGATTTTTTTAAATGAACGAGACTGCGTCTTATGCTTCTCTCACACTTGCGCGACGAAGCTTTGGGTGGCTTTGGTACTTAATATTTTGTGGTACAAAAAGTTCTATCCTAATGAATTATTGGGCTACGCCGCTTAATCTATAGGCACATAGACGGCAGACGATAGCTTGACTGGTAATAATTTGACACGCATAAAAGAGGTTGTGAGAGACGATAAATTTGTATGTGTAGCTGAAAGACGCTAATTTTAGCGCATTTTAGTACCAAAGCTACGTCACGCAGGTGTAGGAGAAGCATTACAGAATAAGCATTTTTTTCCAAGTTTTATTGTTACATTAAAAAAGTAGCCCTTCTTCAAAGTCCCCTTTACATCTATAACAATTTTTAATTGTTTCGGCTGTTTAGACGTGAAAGTGACAGTCGGAGCCACACAGTGTTACTTTAGCATTTATTTGTTTTTTTTTTGCATTAAAAATATATTTTTCATAGTACTCTACGAATATCAGCAACAGGTGCATTAAATATCTTACCTTAGATCCTATGTAATGTGGGCGGTTCGAGAACTTTTTAATAGAGCTTCTTCTGTGTTATAAAACCAGCCAAGTACGAGTCAAACTCGCGCACTGAGGGTTCGGTACAAACCTATAGGTATGTAATAATTATAAAAAAATATATATGTCATGTAACTAAAAATTTACGGTTTTTGCAATTTTTCCTTTATCTGTGTTATAAGACTTTGCTTCGTACCAAAGAACATTGCTCGTTCCCCATACATTGAATGCCCTAGAACGCCCAGCAATGAGAAAATGCTATTTGTGTTCGGAATCATTCAAAAACTCTAATTAAGCATTTGTTGAGATACGGACAAGTTGAGGAACCGTGGACTACTACAGAATGAATTCGATTTTGAGGTTATAATTATTATATTTAATCGTAAAAGATGTACACTTTATATATTCTGAATAGATTTAGTGTTTACCTCTATGTAAGCACTTAAATAATATACATTAAATGAATATAAAATGTAAATTAAAAATAAAAATAATAAATGCTTATATTCATATTGATTTATGAGTGTTGTCAGTTGGCACCTATGATACCTATACCTACCTGTAGTAGGTAATAATAGATTTCTTTTTAAATGAAATGTTCAGTCTTTCCATTTACCTGTTTCTATATTTTACTGTCGGTAATTAGGTATGTACCTGGTTAAATAAACAGATATTACATGGGATGGGAGTATAAACTATCTTTACATAATTTCAGAAATAATCTTTTTATAATTATAATATAAATACTAGTAATAAGTATTATTAACTAAGGTATCCACTTCTATTTTTATGTTGATAAATACCTATGGTCACCTTTATTGCATTTATTAAGGTTAACAATCTTGGCACAACTTTTTAAAAGAATCACCCATTTAATAATAAAATATTAACGAAGCCAATAAACTATTAAAATAAATCGTTATTATAGACTGAAACCTATTGAATCCAGTTATCAGTTGATTTTTAATGCTGTATTTTCAATAAAAAGGAGTGCCAAGTTGGATGAACAGACTGTAGTATCTAGTAACAGAACTTTTATTATATTTGTTTCTTAGGTTTTCACGCACATCACTCATTAAATAAAACTAGTTTTTACGGGTTAATGCACGAAACTTTATTTATTTATTGACGTTTCGCAGCCTTTTCAGGTCTGCATCGTCAGAATAATGATTTTTTATTTAAAATTGTTGAGCTACCTTCGAAAGACTTATATTGAGCGTTCGGTTATTTCATTGGAAGATTTTTAAAATTTTATTGTCTATGTATGAATTTATTATTTAATTTACTTAATAAAGTATTTTATTTAAAATTCTTGTTTGTAATTTTGAGTTTATTTATTTGACCCTAACTACCGTAACCTACCACCGGTTCCAAAATTGGGAGACCTTCCTGAGAAGAACCGGCGAAACAAACTCAAGAGAGGCTTTCTATCTCCTTCTTATGTTAAATTATGCAAACAAAAAGAACTAATAGTATCTGATGGTCTTGCAGTGTGTGCTCGGGGTTGGGATTTTATCTCCTGTATAATAGGTTCCCAAGCTGGTGGTATATACCACCAGCCCGTAAAAACTAGAACTTTTATTTTTTATTTTTTTAAAACAGATTGTCCATTAACTATGATTAATTGCTAATAAGTTAAAAAAATAATAGAAAAATAATAGTGAAGGACATTCTTTTGGGCATGATAGGGCCGATTTCGTCGATGTCCTTTCAAGATTTTTAGACGGGAAGTACCATGTAGGTTTTGGTTCCTTGGAAGTTTGCTTAGCAGGTTGATTTTTTCACAGCTCTAAGAGACAGTAGACTTGAGTATTTGATATAAATTTTAGCTTGATATATCCACGCGTTTCTGAGAAAAAGAGTCTTAACAGACGGACGGACAACAAACTGATCCTATAAGGGTTCCGTTGTTTCCTTTCAAGGTACGGAACCCTAATATGATTACTATAATATCAAAAAAAATATTTTATTACATTTCTAAGTCCTTGTCTTTTTAGAGCGGTCTTTGTCATTTATTTGAAGAGAGATTTTCACTAGGTGTCGGTGGTGCATTGTTTCGACCTTCTTCTGGTTTAATTCAGAATAATAATCACAATTTTTTACTGACTAGGATAAATATTCTGGAATAATTTCGATGTCTCCGACTTTTATAAAAAAGTGCTTATTATTTATTTTGTAAATAAGTTTTGCTAATTCGCACGAACTACGAAGCATATGCTACGGTTGAGTCGATGTGCTACGACCGTCTTTGTGCTACGAAAACTTGGGATAAGAAGGAAGTAAATATTATAATTTCGCCATTACATAAAAAAACGAGTTATTTGAAGAATAACATATTTATTTTATCCTGACGTAAAATATTTAGTTACGGTAAATCATCCACTTTTGTAAATAGGACCTCATTTCTGTGAAATTTAATGTTTGTGAGAAACAAAATTAGCAAATAGTCGCAGTTGACCTATATTCCTTGAATTTCCTTCCACCATGTATAAAATTATATTAGGAGAAATAAAGGAGAAATATATTTTTACATAAGGTTTATATAATGGATCAGTTCATTCAAGATAAGGCTGAGGTAAACACAGTCATATGTATCCCCAGGCTGACACAAATTTTGTTACGTAAAATATTATTTTTACGATCAATTACGTAGAAAGTTGTAATACCGGAATAAAGAGATTGTATAAATAATATCTTCATAACTCCTAGAAATATTATGAAATTTAGGTTCATTGCGTAATAACAGTTTAATAAAGATATTGCTTGATATTGTTTTAAGTTAAGTTTCGAGATTGATTGCAGTTAATCATAGTAGTGACATGAGGCTGTTTTTATATCTTATCAAAGTAACTTGAGACGATAGCACCAGTGCTTTCAGAAACATTGCCTGATCCGTACATTACATAGTATTTACATTATAGCCAATGGATGCCTTTACAAAAATTATTTAGTATGTATTTTCTGGAGCTTAATTGGACGTAGTTACGCGAAACGTTCCAACCCACAAGTCACTCGAAAATGAGTTACCATAACCAGGGTACTATTTTTGCCATATTACATCATGTGCACACAAAGATGCTAGTATTTTTAAGTTAGTTTCATCAATAAAGTTTAACCAAATGTTCCAACCCACCATTATGCCAAGGACGTGTACTCAAAATAAAGTAAAAACATTACATGCATACTGAAACATATTGTTAAAAACTCTTAATAGAATAACATATCGTTTAATGTTCCACTTGTCTTGGAACATTATACTAAATTCATAAAACGCACATTTAATGGTTTCTTAAATGATCATGTGGGTTGGAACGTTTTTGCAAAATCTTTATACATTTTTTATTTCTGCAAAAATGTTCCATGTAATTTGAAACCCTTTAGATTATCCATACTTTTTTTAAGCTGCGAACTGTTCTAAATAAATTGAAACCTTTTATTATAATATATTATTTTCATATTTTTTGCTATAAACAATCCACATATACTTGATCCATTTTTGCTATTAAATATGTTCTAGAGAAAAGATATTTTTTACCAAAATAAATAACTATGGTATATTTGGACGTAGTAACGCGAAAAATGTTCCAACCCACAGCAACCCAATTTGCAATTTACACACTTTTTCCCTGTAATTATTTCAGGCAAATACTATTGGTTTAACTATGAATGCCAAACTGATTATTGAATGATATGCATATTTTTGTAAATACATAATACAAGGGGCATATAAATAGGTAAAACGAGTTGAAATGTTTTTGCTAAATTAATTTTGTATGAACCTTGTTAAATAGCAATTATGCATAAACTTTCCAAAACGAATTTAAGTGTATTTTTTATAAAATAAACCAAAAAGAAATATGTAAAATAATAAATAACAATGAGGAACATACAAAAACACAAAAAAATATATTTGAAAATGTATTACAAAAAAATAGAACGTGATCTTTTGAGCTTAGAACCTATGCCAAAAATTTGTTGATATGGTTCCAAAAGTTATCAAAAATTATATTATAAACATTCAATTTTCATCATCGTATTCTATGATCTCGAAGTCCGGAACTCACCAAACCATCAACATCATCAGTGCTTCTTCAGAACTTTGAAGCGTTCTATAAAATTGAAGGCAATCCTCGGGTATGTAGTGGTACATGATTGTAAGTCCACTAATTTCGCTGGAGCAATCGGTTTGTCGTTAGGCCACAATAAGCAAAAATCAGATTCTTTTTATGTATTGCAGTTCTCGTTTTATTCTTTTATCAATTTTCAACTCATTGAAATCGTCTTCCATCGTAGACGCATAAAAATAGAAAACATTTTATCTTTATCCAACTTAATTTCTTTTGTATGTAGCCAACTAACTTTAGATGAGTCTGTAAACTTCTTCCTATTGATAATCTTCTTTTCCAGTTTGTTGTACTAAAAAAATCAGTCTTTGTCATTTTGTAAACTTGAAGAGGTTTAACTTTTTTACTTAGTTCTACAATAGTGGTATCCATAGTGCATTTAATGATACTGGGCATTGTTATGTATTGTAGAAGGAGAGGTAGAAGAGGTGCACAGGAAGTGGATTGCCTTCAATTTTATAGAACGCTTCAAAGTTCTGAAGAAGCACTGATGATGTTGATGGGTTTGGTGGAGTTCCGGACTTCGAGATATAGAATACGATGATGAAAATTGAATGTTAATAATATAAGTTTTTGATAACTTTTGGAACCATATCAGCAAATTGGCATAGGTTCTAAGCTCAAAGATCACGTTCTATTTTTTTTGTAATACATTTTCAATTTTTTTTTTGTTGTTTTTTGTATGTTCTTCATTGTTATTTATTATTTTTACATATTTATTTTAGATATATTTATAAAATAATACACTTAAATTCGTTCTGGAACGTTTATGCACAATTGCTATTTAACAAGGTTCATACAAATTAAATTTAGCGAAAACGTTTCAAACTCGTTTTACCTATTTATATGCCCTTGTATTATGTATTTACAAAAAATATGCATATCATTCAATAACCAGTTTGGCATTCCACAGTAACACCAATAGTATTTGCCTGAAATAATTACAGGGAAAAAGTGTACCGCTAAACACAAAATTGCGTTTATCTCAAAATGGGGTCGCTGTGGGGTTGGAACGTTTTCCGCGTAACTACGTCCAATTGCAGCACGCGCATATCTGACGTCGCGTACAGAGACCTATGCTTGCTGAAAAGAGCGATCACCTGTTGTGTCCGTAAAATATTTACTCACCCCGGCACGTATTCCCTGCAGACTCCTGCGTCGCTGTCCCACCCACAGTAGGGATCGCGCGCGCACCTCACACATGCGTCATACCGGCGCGCGCCTATCTGACGCCGCGCACAGAGAACCATGCTTGCGGGACAGAGCTATCACCTGTTGTGTCCGTAAAATATTTACTCACCCCGGCACGTATTCCCTGCAGACTCCTGCATCGCGGTCCCACCCACAGTAGGGATCGCGCGCGCACCTCACACATGCGTCATACCGGCGCGCGCCTATCTGACGCCGCGCACAGAGAACCATGCTTGCGGGACAGAGCTATCACCTGTTGTGTCCGTAAAATATTTACTCACCCCGGCACGTATTCCCTGCAGACTCCTGCATCGCGGTCCCACCCACAGTAGGGATCGCGCGCGCACCTCACACATGCGTCATACCGGCGCGCGCACAATGCAAGTCTGAGTTGCAGCACGCGCCTATCTGACGCCGCGTACAGAGACCCATGCTTGCGGGACAGAGCCATCGCCTGATAGAAGAATTTTTACAGTTAAAATCGTACACAATATTATCATTAGTCTATTATGACGTAATAGTAGAAGATCTGAACCTAAGTCGACTTTCACCGAGCTGATAATAGAATGAAACATATTTTATCATGAATTTAATAAATTAGAAAATTTATTAAAAATGAGTTGCCTAAAAAAACCTGGAAAAGAAAAAAGAAAATTTTTAATTATTAAAAACAAATGATTTTTAATTTAATGTTGCAACATCAAGATAATAAGAAAATGTTGTCCTGACTTAAAGTATAAAACGTACAGAATATGCAGCGGTTGGGTAACTTGTTAAGTTGGCATACCTGTTTATACCTGGCAACCCAGTAGGTAGTTCACCCAGATAAATAATAGACAACCCAACGGCTGCAAATTTTATACGTTTTATACTGTAAGTCAGGATAAAATTTTCTTATAATCTTGATGTTGCAACATTTAATTAAAATCCTTTTCTTTAATAATTATTAATACATAGTTCAGGAATTTTTAGGCAACTCGTTTTTAATATATTTTCTATTATACTAAATTCATGATAAAATATGTTTGTTTCTATTTATTATCAGCTCGGTGAAGGTCGATATAGTTTCGGATCTTAGACTATGACGGCTGGAACTTAGTTAAAAGGGGTTGAGATATTTTTCAGAGTGATTTTATTCATTACCCATATCCGAAAATCAATATAAAGATATTGGGATATAATGAATGATATGAGACAACAGCAGAGTTAGTAAAAGCTTTCCATTTTTTTATAATTTTATTAACTGTGAAAAGAAATGTAATACATTAAATTACAATAATAAATATATATTTAAGGAATGTACAAATAAACTCCATCTTTCCATTAATATGTTAAAGAAAACGATATTATTTATACCTGAATAGGTTCTCCAGGAGTGACGTCAAATATATCAAGAAGAGCTGATTGGCTGTCTCCGTTGCGTGTCCACTGGACTATTTTGTGTATCTTGCCTTCATCTGTAAAAAAAAAACAATTTAAATAGTGGAAATAAGAACATTTTTGGGCATTTTAATCAATAGGAATACAAATAAAATGATGTAAATCAAAATCTCTATTATACTACTAATATTATAAATGTGAACGTTTGTATGTTTGTTACTCGATCACGCAAAAACTACTGAACGGATTAGGATGAAATTTGGGACGCATATAGTTTATGACCTGGAATGAGACCTAGGATACTTTTTATCCCAGATAGGTTCCTGAGGCATTTTCAAAAACTAACTATGGAATATATGTTATATATATAAATGTATTTTATTTCAAGCATTGAACTACTAGATTTTTAATTATAAAGAAAATTTTACTAGACAAAATTCCACGCGGACCAGGCAGCAGACGTGACTGCCTTGCAGCCTAAGTAATGCCAGAGAAAATTCGACACGGCCGTCAGGGCCGCGGTATAATGGCCAGTGCATACGCCAGATAGCGAAGGGTGCAGGTTCGAGTCCCGTCTGCTGCCTGGTCCGCGTGGAATGTTTTTCTAGTAATATTTTCTTTTTATAATAAAATATGTTTATAGAGTGTGTATCAAGGTATCACTTAGTTTTTATTTCATTTAAATCGGTGTACTCTATCAAAAGTTATTTCAATTTAAAGTCACGCAGAAGTTCGGTAATATGATTTAATACAATATGTAACTATTGATACAGTTAATAGACGGTGCTCATTGATTTTAACATGGTGTTTAGGATTGAATAAGTTTCAAGATCTTTAGAATTCACCGAGTTTGAATTATAATATGACAGTTGTTATTTTTTTCTTTTTCTTCAAATATTTATGTATAGGTAAAATGTGGAAAAGTGTTATCTGTGTAGTGTGCGTGAACCTAAATCATGTTATTTTGTGCTATTTACAATTTTTTTAAGTGCGATATTTTATTGTATCTCTCTGTAGCAGATATTCCCGGTAAATAGTAAGATACCCCAACCCAAGCAACGCAAATTCGTCCGCGCGGAATTAGTGATTTGGGTAGGCCCAATCTGCGTTTTCATCAATCTGATTACTATTTAAATAGCAAAAGATGAAAATGCGAGTAAACATTAAATTTTACATCATCATCAACTTATTGAGTCCCCAATGCTGCAGCACGGTCTGCTGAATAGACAAACTTTAACATGTATAATATTACTAGAACCTGCTCGCGACTTCGTCCCCATTAACATTAGATTTTGGGAACCCCTTAGGTACCTAATATTTTTTCCGGAATAATAAGTCAATCCAGAACCCTTTATCCTAATCTAGAAAATGAAGCAATCTGCGCTAAATTTCTCCCAAATCCATTCAGCCGTCTTTTCGTGATTGAGTAACCAACATACAAACTTTTACATTCAAAGGTCAAAGTCAAAAAATCTTTATTCAAATTGGATACACAATACAACTGTTTTGAATCGTTCATGTTTTTCCCTACCACCAGTTAAGTAATTTTTTTTAGCTCTGAAGAAAACTGGCGAAAAAAATTTCACAGCGTTAAATAATTACGTAACAATATTTACAAAATATTATATTGTTACGATGTCAATACAAAATCATATCATCTTCGCCATGATTAAATAAAAATCCCGACTGAACGTTTGGAACAGTTTAAACCCAAGCACTTTTGTCTGAAATAATGAGACACCTTAATAGGCTTTCTTAATAAGAAATATTTTAATAGTAGCTTTAAATTTATTGACGCTTTATTTTTGGATATTGCTAGGGACTTTGCTGTAGAAGCGTACACAATGACCTTGAAATGAATTATTATTGATTTTGCGGAGCCTTGTTTTCATAAATATGCTGAGAAGCAACAAACATTGTACCGGTTTCTTTAAAATATTCTCTGAAAGAGCCTTAAGATTGTGAATTGATCGAATAGTCCGCTTGTGCAGCACAAAAATAGTTTGAATGTCGGCAGCATTTCTCAACAGCAAAATACCGTACGACATCACACTTTGAAAATAACTAAAATATACTAATCGAGCGGCTTTTTTCTATCATTGATTTATTTTTTCTACCAAAAATTGGTACTCGAGAATTTACTTAGCTATTTATTTATACAAATTGTCCGGACGAGTGTCTAAGTATTATAAAGAAGCCGATCAGTCAGTGACAACTGTTTATACAAGACTCTTTTCTTTGCTACAACAAAGCATTAATATGATATACAAAATTTGCCCTTGTTTGTAAGAGAATAGTGTCCATTGTCCATCACTGTTGCCCTATATACGAGCAGCGTCTAAAAGGTAATTTCACAACACCTTTCTAATTTCAAGGGCGGGAGGTCGCCACTTCTCACCTCCTGAACTTTCAGTCGCGCGATGTTCATTCGCAACTATTTGTCTAACTGCCTGATAAATTAGTAGGGTCCCTCAAAATGATGGCCCAATTAGTCCTCCCTGTCGGGGACAAAAGTCGCGACACGCGAAATTATTGTTCAACATTTGCCTATATTTTGTAAGTAATACAACTGCATTGTTGCTCATTAGTAAGGTGGTTTTCAAATGTATGTATTTTAGTATATAAAATTGGAATTGGAAAAACAGTTTACAATAATCACAATAAATTTATTTATTTTAAACTTTTAAACCAAAATACAGGAGAATGGTACAAAGGGCGGACTTAATGCTAATAGCATTATCTCGCAGTCAAACTTTGGGAAAAAAGAAAAACGCGAATGGCGGTATAAAGCTATATATACACATAAATATTGATATAATAAATAATATTAAAAATATATACGAATTAACATACATGCTTATATAAATACATACTACGAAAGGAATACACATACATACATACCACAATTATATTTAAATATATATATACACATAACTCGTAAATTCGACGTAACTTGTAATAAAAACTATAAATATCGATATCGATAGAAATATCGAAACAGCTTTAAATTTTTCATTACACTATTATTAGGTATTCAGGTAAAACATGTTCAACATAAATTCGTTGTTTGGCAGTAAAAATATCTCGTTTGAAATATCTAAAAATCGATGTTATTGGTCGGATACTAAAACTTGAAATAGAATAAATGAAAGTGAAACACGTTATTCCATAAAGAATCTATTATGTAAAAAGTAATCTTACTGAACAACCACTTGTTTTCAATCAATCAGAAGTCAATCTTTTTAGAAGCACTTTTGTTTTTAACCTAAACGACTGTTTTATTTCAAGAATAGTAGCAACCTTTTACATAATTAATGTAAACATGGTTCAATTGAATTTGTATCACTACTCTTTTCTAAGTTGCAATATTCCTGATATAATTATTAAAGCACGTGGAGTGTGCCCTATTGTATTTGTTTCCGAAATCGATGGAAACACAATGCGCACCGCACGTGACCACGCCAGTCAACCTTTCCATGAGATTGCAGCCTCCTTACAAAGCGGCAGAATTAATATTCGACCCACGAAACTTAATAGCTAATTGGATTAGAACCATGTACCGAAATTACCTAACCCGGTTACATACAATAGTAACGTACGTGTCGCAGCAATAAGACGGGACGCGGCTCCGATATTGTTCGTTACAGTTGAGCTATAAATCAGTAATTATATTAGTACAACCTTAATGAACGGTAATACGCTGATTGTGTGAATAGGCACGTGTTTACGCCTCTGTGTTGTACCGAACCGGGATCAGCGGTCGCGCTGAATTAAATTTCGGGAGGACCAACGTCAGAATATGCTTCATAGTACATTTGCGGTTATTGTTTGATCGAGTTGGTGTTTCCAGATTTGATCGCAATATTTTATAATAATCAGTAAACTACAATGAGTCAAAAGGTTACAGTTACACATCTTTACAAACAAACAAATAAATTTAGCTAGCAATATTATTGTTATATTTTTTTTTTATTATTTTAAAGCATGTAACTGTTGCATGTTTAAATCTAAAGAAAATATAACTAGAAAAAAATCCACGCGGACCAGGCAGCAGACGGGACTCGAACTCGCACCCTTCGCAATCCGGGCGAATGCACTGACCAATTATGCTACCGCGTCGAAATTCTTCTAGCCATTCTTAAGCTGCAAGGCAGCGCCATCTCTTCGCATTATAGGTAACCCACAATGTCAAATGAATACTTTTACAAGTATTAAACATTTAAAAGAAGAAATAGCAATTATATTTATATTTTTTAATATTTTTAAGCATGTTACTGCTTGATGTTTAAATCTAAATAAAATATAACTAGAAAAAAATATTATTTTATATATATATATATTATTCCCAAAACTCAAGTATTGGGAATAATAGCAATATTATTCCCAATACTTGAGTTAAGACAACTACGCTTATTAAGCGATGGTGGAGCGTGGAAGTTGTCACATAAATGTGCTTTGTTTACAAATGCTGGGATTCAAAAGTGAGCTCCAACCTTAATAGATAAGATTTAAGTTGCGATTACTTTTTCATCAGAACCTTTACATTCATTTCCACATAATTGGGAAATGTTAACTATCACGTCGACTGATGTCGAAAAGCATTGGATAACCAATTCATTGCAGGACGGCAACATTACGAAACGAGGACATTTCAGCTTTCATTACAGTAATGACATCGTATTGTAAGGCACATTTTCCGAGTGAATGCCGAGTTGGTTCAACCCTTTGGCCTATTGCTGTTAGTAGGTCGTAGTAATTAATCTTAGGACGATTAACGGATTAAACTAATTATATAACTGAAGTAAGTAGGAAGGAATCGCCTTTCCCAATCATAATTTTACAGCTCTTCGTAGTAAGCTACTTAATTGGCCCGATACAATTAACCAATAAAGTAAATTATTGAAAAAAATAAGGAATTAAGAGAGGTAGGGCACAGCGGATTTCCCGCTCGAATTGGAGCGCCCGTCTGGAGAAGCAACCTCCACCTTACAAAAGACGACAGTACAATAAACGGTACCTTTTGATGGTGTTTCTACTGGTGGGTAGAGTTCCAGGGATCCATGGGGTAGGGTATTTG